ATCCATGATTTCAATTTGTGTTCAAAATTCGTTTCCTCCCATAACTCAAAATTATTCGTGTTGTACATGTCATACATTCGCCTCAGTCGCTCACGATCTTAATCCAGTCTTTTACGTCAGAACCTGACTTGACACAGAATCGTTTTAAATGCGTCATCGTTGTCAACAGCCCTTAGTATTGAACTTGATACACTTTCTTTGTCATTAGCTATTGACGACTGTGAAGGTTAACAGACGACTTGTTTAAACTCGAACAGAAAAGCTCTAAAAGCGAAGGAGATCGCCAGGAAATGTGTACAACGCCTGATACACTTTAAAGAATAAAAAACTTCATTGGCAGTATCTTCGCCAACTCTGTGAATACATGGATGCCAACCAGATTTAGCGTTCACTTGGCGTTCAGGAAATTGACTCCATGGCTGAACGGATGCCTTTTAGTAGCGGCTGCCCAAGGCCAGCCACTGAACATGAACTGATGCAAGGCGAAGATTTTGTACAAGCAAGTAGAAACAGTGTAGAATGTGTCAGTTGAAGAAAGGAACTGTGGGTCATACAGTTTCGGTCTGCAAAACGCTGACGAATCTAAAATGCGAGGAAAGGCGGCACAGCGTCACTTGAATAGTCCATTGGCGTTTGTGTAATCGAATCAACTTACTCAGTGGTGGAAACATTAGTTGAAAATATTTTGGAATTTTCCCAATATGAACACAGAAATAAATATCAGCTCATCGTATGCATGCCATGTTGGTATGCGAAGCGAAAAGGGTTATAAACCACTGATTCAGCACGCTCAGCTGACCATAACGTTGTTGTTAAACGGAGTGAATAAATACTGAAATGTCAAAAACTGATAATGGAAATGCGAAATATCTGAAGAGTGACGGCGGAAGCGTTTCTTGTGGTAGTGAATGGCCTTGGAGCAGTGAAAAGAGACTGAAAATGCACCTCTTAAAGTCAGTTGATAATGCGATGAAGGTGGATGAACTGTTGAAGATGATTATGCTAGAGCTACCAGGGTTTAAAAGGAGTACTGTAAGTCCGTAACCTTCTCTAGAAGGTTCGAGATAAAGTGATGTTCGTATCACACTTGTTAAATTTCATGAAGTGTGATTGAAATTTAGAAAAATAATTCATAACGCATTCGACTCGATATTTTTTCCTCACATTTAATAAAGGGTTTGGTTTAAGAGCGGATAAGTAAGTGTTTTTGGCCATTGGCTGATATTCAAAACATATAGCTGTACGAACAGTTATTACATGTATTATTTTTTCATAAGTATTTTCAAAATTATGGTTATGAATCGGTTGAATAATAATTTAACTTTTGTCTTTGGATGCTGTGGTCTTAGACGGTCTCTCAACAATAATAAACTTTAATGATTTTGCACCGTCAGTTATTTTTCTTCTTTTTGTTGTTTTCTTCGTGTTAATTTTATTGTTGTCATTTTCTCTTGTCATTTCTTCAAGAAAGAAACTCACTGCTGGTTCTTTTGCTGTGTAAAATCGTTAATTCATATATCTTTTGCTGCACGTTCACTTCGTAAATTTTTCTGACTGTTCATAGGCCATTAATTTTTGCCTTACCTTTTAAGGATCGTTTGAAATTTATTTACTATTTAATCTTTAAGGTAGATTTTTTTGGTTTTGGTGTTGTTTTCTGAGTTCTGAGACTTATAAATTCTAATATGCCACCTGCATTAAGTTAGCGATTATTCTTATTAGTCCAATTAATATCTTTTAATTTATTTTTATTTTTTATGGTGCTTTTCGTTTATTGCCGCATTGACTTTCACTTTTAGCTTGAAAATCTTTTGTTGGACAAAGATGGTCACATAAAAATAGCTGATTTCGGCCTTTGCAAAGAAGATATTCCATTCGGTGAAAAGACCAAAACTTTCTGTGGTACGCCTGAATATCTGGCCCCTGAAGTACGTAGCGCATCACTGAATAT